AAATAAATTAATTTACAAATTTAAAGGAAAAAAATAATAAATTTTATTCATTATCAAAAATATACGAGTTATGTGTGAGTGTACTCATCGCATGCAGTGTATGCGGTGTACAATAGCTCAATGGTTATAAATAAATAAGGGAACTTCTAATTAATTTGTAGATTATTTTTAAAATTTCTTATTGAGTGGTCGGAGTTTACACCCTAAACATTATTTTAAAACCCTAGCATTGTTCGTGCGGTAAAAGTTTAGCAAAAAAGAAAGCAGTTCGTCATTTAATTTCAAATTTAAACAATTTAATGTTTTATGTCTGAACCCCATATATTTCATTGTGAAGTCCTTAAATCACATGTTCAATAACAATACTAACAATAGCCAATACTGATCTGATCCACCCGGTAAATATAAAGAGCATAAATAAATAAAAATGCTTTAGCCAACAAAATTAATGAGTTTTGATAAAAATTTTTATTTTAGCTTAGCTTTATTAAAAAAGCACATTTGTGTTTCTTTTTTCTTCTGTTTTTATTTTTATTTTTTAATCAATTTATCAAATCTTAACGACTGAATAACTTTTATTTTGAGTATTTTAACTCTTAATTTTTTTATGAATATTTTAAAATTTTTTTGATTTTTCTATAGAAATATTCTTTTGTTTTGAAAATAAAAGCTATAAAGAACTTTTTTTAATCTTGTCACATGCTGTAAAATAAGCGTGTATTCAAATTTTATTGCTCTTTCATATTTATATTTAATGACGTCAAATATGCAAGTTATTTTTAGGTTTCTTACTTAAAATTTAGGAAATAAAATTATAAATTTTGCACAAAAGAAAAACAACAAGAAAAAATAAAATTTTGGAAATCCGATTGTAATTAAGAGGATCACATCATCCCTAAATTTTTCTTCTTATATGCGTGTACTTTTAATCTTCATCTAAAGGGGGGCTTATTAAATGTAAGAGAAAATGGGGGAGTTGCAAATCGTTTTAGGTTTTCACTTTATATTTAGAATATATTGAGGAATTCTAAACAATGTACCAGTTATGTGTAAAATTAAAAAAATTTAAATTTTTAAAAATTTTGTGGCTTAAAATTTTATTTTTTATCGTACAGAGATTAATTTTAACAGAACACAATATTTATTGCATATGCTGCGGGGCTACATATTTTTTTTTTTTGTCAATAATTGTTTATAAAAAAACTACTCAGTTAGTTTTTAATATTGGAATTCCAAAATATTAATTGAACGTAATTAGTCATGGTTTGTGGGTCAATCTCTAACTGTTAGCGATATTTTATCGTAAAAAATTTGAAAATTTTCATTAAGATTTTCATCAAGTATAAAACATCGGAACCTATAATGATGTTTTCTATCTTTTCATAATAAGGAAGTGATTGAAGCGTGGAGGTGGGAGGGAAGGTAGATGGTACTATTCTAATTATAACAATGTCAATATATGTCAAAATATTAATAATATTTATTCAGTTTAATTTATTTATTTTTACTAAATGTAGGGTATGCAATATTTCACTATTACCATATCGCACCGAAAATTTCACTAGTTGAATTTTTAACGCGAAATTTCTTAATAAAGAAAAGTTTTTCACCATTTTATTTTATTAGCACTTTTCCAAAAAATTTTTGAAAAAAAGTGCTTATTAGTTACACTCTGTCCGTCCGTCCATTATCCAGTCTTTTTTTTCCAAATTTTTGATTTGGTTTTTCTTCTAGACCCCAGTCTATAGAAGCCTAAAATTTTAGGGGCATTTAAACATTAACAAAGAGTTCATTTCGTTAGAAGAAAATTTTTTTCCATCTCCACCCCGTCTCAAGTTATCGCCTCTTGAAATTTTAATTTGAATTTTTGACACCTTATATTTCCGAAACCGCAAGCTTTTTCAAATTTCTATAAACACGAAAAGCTAACGGTAAATTCCATTACATTAAAAAATATAATTATTTTTCTTAACTCACACAATTAACCCTTAAAATCGAGCATTATGTTAACCCCACTTTATATTAATTTTTGCCTTATTTCAAAGACTGCATAAATCGTTCATCCTAAATATATGCAATCCTAGAAATAGTTTTGTATATGAATGAAAATAATTTTAATAGTGTGATAAGTATGCATAGACTGTATTTAAAAGCAGAATTTTCACTTGTTGAAGGGAAAAGTGCTACAATACAAACCATTGGTTTGACTCAACTTTATTTTATTTTTATTCACCATTAATTTGTTTTCTACCACTTTTTTTTTTAGTTTAAAGTGTCTTCTTCTTCACACCCCCACGTCGAATACAAAGCCAAGATAATTATTTAAATTAATTGAGTTAAACTGTTTGACATTATTATTCATTGAATTCATTTATTTTGAATATTAAGAAATTCTACATTTTCTTAATTTTAATTATTTTTTAATATTGTTCCTGGTCTAAATTTCTTCTCCATATAATTTGCGTTCATATAAAAGATTTTTATTAAACTGCAATATAAATTATAATTATCTAAGCTATTAGCTACTTATAATAAGAAATATTTTTACATAAGAAAAAAAATTTTCACAAAACTAGTAAAAATTGTTATTTAAAAATATTGAAGGCGTTCTAAATACAAAAAATTTCTTCATTAACAATATTTAACACGTAAAAGAAGAAAACATCACAAACAAACAAACAAACAAGGTAATTATTTTCAAAAAATAAAAATAAAAATGGAAATTTAACATTAATAATAATCTACATTTATTTTTCAAATAAAATTTATGAAATTTGAAATTTCATCACTTATCCAAATTTATATTATTAAACATATACAAATTAACAATCTCTCATTAATATAAAATATTTCAATATTGTAAAAATTTAGGTGGAACCTGAACCAAATCATGTCTGTAGAAAAATTCGGATTGATTAGATGCGTTAATAATTTTCTATTATTTAAGAATAAAGAAAATAATAAAATTAAGAAATAAAATTTAATGTAAATAAATTTAAATTTCAAAATAATTATGTATGTCAAAAATAATTGCAAGTTCTCAATTGAAAATCATAAATTGAACAATTGATCTGGAAAACGTCAATCAATTCATTTCTTTTTACTTTCTGTTTCAATTCATTTACGTACAAACATAAAATCGATTATCAAAAATACATTATATTAATGATAAGTAAATTGACAGATAGCTATAAAGTAATTCGAATTTATTTTGTTTACACACAGCATTCTTCTCTTTCGAAACTTACCTAAATTCTCTTTATTTTGAATTGAAATAATTAGGAGAGAACGATGCGCTTCAAAAAAAAATTTCTGTTTGTCATTTTTCAAGATAGGTATTAGGTATACGACTGAGATACGTGTAAGTTATTTGAACATCAGAGACGAAAAAAATATTTAGAAAGAAAAACAAAAGAAAAATATTTTAATTTTAAAGACAAAAGTATTTAAATTGTAAATAAAAACTTAAAATAAAAAATAATTACAAGGACGTTCATTTTGATTTTGTTTTGATTATGATGTAATAAAATTTTTGTTTGGGTCCCATTTGCTTGGTGTAGGTTCATATACATACATATACATAATATATTGAAATTTCAATAATCGATAATGAAAATTTACAATCATATCGTATATTTTACAAATATAATATTAATTACAATTAATGAGTTAATTATAATAGAAAATTTATTTTATTAAAATTAATTAAATTTATTTAAATTTAAATTTTTTCACATATTATTAATTTTATATCATAATTCGGAGCCCTCGTATATAAGAAAAATTGTATAATCTTTAAACTTTTAAACTTTTAATTCAAAATGCAAGCCGACAGCCGGTCTTTTACTAAATTATGTAAAATGTAATGTCGTAACAGAGTGAACTCAAATGATAACATTGTATCATTAGTTTTGTTTTTAAATAATATAATTATGTTAAAATTTTCAATTCATATTCAAATTTTATTAATTAGTTTTTAATTATATGACTGCATGTTAATAGCTCTGCATATAGTTTTTATGATTAGATCAAATCTTGATATTTCACCACAAAATCAAATTTGTAATTTGTAAGTCGGCCTTTTAAAAGAATAAGAAAAATATTGAGAAAAATATTGAAGAAGTTTAAATCATTAATATAAAAATATTGTTATACACCATATAGACCAAACGAGAGAATTAAAGATAAAAATTGTTGTTCTGTGGAAAATTTTGAATTCAAATATGAATCCGAATCCAAACAAAATCGCATTAAGAATTTTTTCGCTGCCAATCACTACTTGTATGTTTACAATATTTCGTTTATAATGCAGGAATATTTTAGGAATCACACTAATCATACTGTGATTACTTTCTATATGCTACTCAACTTATTTAATGCAAATCATTAAATCGCAAATCAATCAATCAAGGAAAATATCAAAATTTATATGACAAATTTTCACACCTCGCTTTTTCATAAATTTTTAAAAATTTGACATTTGAACTTTTGCAAAACTGAATTTATTACATAAAAGCATCACAGTTATTTCTTTTCTCAGTTTCATTATTACTAAATTTTACAATTAGCTAATCTGCTTAAGCTAGAGTAAAACAAATTAATATTTAGTTTCAAGTAGCAAGGTAAATGTAATCCAATCTTTGCAATAGTAACAAAAATTAAAAAAAAATATCGTAATTTTAATTCGAGCCATCGTATTGTTTTTAATTTGAGCCAATTAATTGTATCTGAAAATAAAGAAAAAAAAAAATAATAATGGAGAAATATTGGTATATAAATAATTATACTTTTTCCTGTAATTAATAAGTAAGTATACGCATCACATTTACTAGAAATTTGAATTCTTTACAGACAAGCATATATTTTGAATTTCTCACTCATTTATTCACTCATTCATCAAAATATTATTGTTAGAGATCTTTCCCACAAGATTGCATATACATACTCTTTGACAGAAGACTGAAAAATGAATAGATTTTTTTTTTATTGTATTTTGGTCTATGACGTATATGAGAAGAATGTTAACAGTCAAAACTATGATTGATAATAAAGATAGCGAAAGTAATATGACAGTTTAACGTCTACATACACACACATATTCTATATTATATGTAAGGAGTTCAGTTGTTATGGCGTTTTTTTTTTTTTTGGTTTTTAATATTTTAGGCGAAACTTTTGTTAAAAACTAATATTGTTGATTTGTATTATTAGTTTCAGATCTTTTATTTTCTAGTTGGTTACGGTTTCATTCAATTTTCTATAAAATTGTTAATTTATTGCTAATTTTTGATTTATTTCGAGTTGTACGCAGACATAATATATGTACATATATTTTGTATACATGTAAAAAATATGTTACGAATACAGCAATTCGTTTCTAATGCTAGGAAATAAATAGTCTAAGAAAATGCAATTGTTCTTCAGCATCGTATTCTGAGTCAATATTGTTGGGTTTATCCAGTCGTCTATATGCGGAACAGCTCAAAAACTAATTAAGCTAAACCCTCTTTAACAATTTTAACAAATTGCATGCATTTTTGCCATATTAATTTTTGATGGGAGAGACTTGTGTAGATTACCATATTTAGTTTGGATGCAAGAGATTTGATTGTGTTGGAATAGTGCTTTTTGCGATTGGCAAAGTATTTTAGAGTAATTTCAATCGTATGCTAAATATCTAATATAATTAACATAAAAAAAGACTTTAATTAAGATAAATGGCAATATTCATATAATTCTTAGGATCATCCATTAGCATCGGTAGGCACCACAGAGATAACATGGGCAATTGTCGTTTCTTATTGAATTTGTATTAAAAAAAACATATATATACATATATACGTACGCATAATATTGAAATTATTATTATTAGTCTATAATTTGATGGAATTGAATTCTTCTTTAGACGACGTAAGTTTAAGTATTAAAGAATTTTATAAAAGAAATTTGAAATGAAATATTTGAGCATCATGAATTCATTTAAATTTTGAGATTTGCATAATATGTAAATTTTGTAAAGTCACCCACTATTTCACAAAATTATTAAGAATTATCAGATTTTTTTTCTTAATAGGTAAAATTACAGTTTCTTCATAGTAACGCATTATATTTTGTATATATTTGTTGCACACTAAGTGTAAACACCTTTTCATTGAATACAAAATAAATTTTTAATATTCATAGTTTTATACTTTTCCAAAATTCCCCCGAATTACATATGAATATTGTATAAAAGCACATAATCTCTATACTCTACTACATATGTGTTATACTAATATAATAAATATAGTTTTCTTTGTAATGAATGTATATACATGTACATATACATAAGGCAACTGCAAAAATTTCAAAAAATGATTGACATTAAATCGTACAATGACGTTTTGATTATAACCATTTAATCGTAACATGTGTATGTAATTTAGTTATTAATTTAAATTTTTTTTCTACGTTCATTTTGATAAATTGTAGGGTTACCTATTAGCTTTATATTGTTACCTATTAGTACAAAAACAAAAAAGAGAGAAAGAAAGGAAGAAATTTTATGTCAAAATTTTGCATGCTTGTCATATCATATTTTGCCAATCTTTTAAAAATATTTTATACCTACATTTACCGTAAATATAAAAGAAAGGTTATTATTAATAGAAATTTATGTTTATTTGTATATGTTACACTTTTGTAAGCGCGGCGTGAACGGTAAACTTTATTAATACATTCTCGTTTATGGTAATATTTATTGCTATTATGTACACATAGTTTGTATGGAATGTGGGGGAAAAAAGATATCCGCAGTTTTATCGATCTTTCTCTAGATATTTATTATATACCATTTTTTGTTTCTTTAGAGTTTTTTTTTTCTATTTTGATGTTTTTAGAGAATTAAATAATTGGTGAAAAGATCACCGTGGACACTTTTGTTTTTCTTTTGTGTCTTGATGGGTTAAATAACGTTTATCACCTGCAGGTTTATTAATATAATTTGGTGTTTTTTTTTTTTTTTGTTTTCTGCTGCCTGATGACTAAGTAGCTTTCGCATAAATTTTTCGTAAATAAAATTGAATTAAACGTTTTAAATAAAGGTAAACGCATATTTTTAAATTGTATGTAATTTCCATATTTTTTTTTTTTGTGTACATTTTGATTTAAAGGCAGTTTTTAGGTGTCAGGTGGTTTCTTTTTATAGATTTTGATAGATGCTAATTGTTTTTTCATAGAAATTAATAATATTTTTTTGTCTTGTGGGAAATTGTTATTTTTTTTTTTTTTTTGAAATATGATATGCTATAGAAGAAATTTTATTTCCGCTTTTCGAAAACAATGAGTTTTTCTCTAATTTTCGTATTCTACTTAAAAAAATATTTTACAGTTGTTAAATCAAAAAGTTCGAATTTTTCATAAAACTTTATTAAAATTAATGAAAATTGTATTTTTAATAGTAAGGAGTTCTTATTTGGCCCCCCATAAAGCCAGAAAAAAAGTATAACTAATGTTAATTTATAGGAATTGTGCGGATTATATAATTAATGAACGAGTGAAAATTTAAATTAAGCAGTAAATTGTAAATAATTGTAATAAATTTTTAATTTAAGAAATTTAATTTTTTATATAATCTTTATAAAAGAAAGCTTTAATTTTCCTGTAATACATGGGGTGGTTTAAAACTTTTACCAAAAATATAATGTGCATACTTAAATAGTTCATCCAATTATTAGCATCTCATGGAAATATAGTGAATAACAAATTCTTAATATTAAATTTAAGAATTTATGCTTATTTTTCGCTAAATTTCGCAAATAATTATTCTGAACGGGATTTAATTTTTAAAATACTGGTAAGTTTTTTTTTCGAGAATCGTAACTGTCAAAAAATTAGAAAGTTTACCTACTTTCAAGTTTACGATATTCGAGTCTCTAACGTATTTGTTTTTATTATAATTCACCGGTAAGCACTATCTTTAGTAACTAAATTGGATTTATTTACCGGCAATACATTGACACTCATCGTATGTGTTTTTTATGGTCATAGTGAGCAAGGATCTTAAGGTTCTATAGTAAATAATGGCTGGGTATTATAGGTAGAACATAAAATACTTCTAGTTGGAAGTAAATCAGTCTAAATAGAACAGTAATTGAGGAATATGTATCTGGGAATATTTCTCAAAGAAAATGCTTTCTATTTACAAACAACTCCCAACTATTCTTTTCATATATAGGTCGAACGTAAATATTGTGTTTGAAAATTTAAAATTATAAAAAACTAAATTATTTTTCGCTATTAAAAAAATTAAAATATTTTCTATTATATTTCTTTTTTTATTTTTTGTATATTTAACAGATCGATCTTGGAAGAAAATTATATAGTTGGCAAGGTGAGGAGGTATATTAAAAAAATATGCTGCAACCAAAGGCAATAGGTAAGTTTAATATTCATTATTCATTTACAATATTAATTTCCAAATTTTTTTTTGAAAATTTTTATATTAATTTCAAAATTTGAACCCTACAATATTTGAATATTTCAAAATCTTTAAGACAAACAATATTATATTTATAAAATATAATGTGTTATACGATCAAATTTAACTTGTAAATTATTGAATTCGTAATTTTCATTGGGAATTTGTAAAGCTTCAATTTAAAAATGCCGTAGTGCTACACATCAAGAAAATACCGCGCGTTCACATAAATTTATATATAGATAAAAATGATATATGAAATATCATTAATAATTAATTTTATAAATAGTTTAAAAAATTTTTTGATTAAGGTAGAAATAAAATGATTCTTAAGAAAATATTCACAATATACCAGTTAAAAACAGTCTTTATATTAGTATGATCGTTTATTCTCTTCTGTATACAATAAAGTATTCAAAATGTCGGTATATGCGGTTACTATTGACTTTGAAAAATAATTTAATTATGATATTTTAATATTTCAAATCATTGAAATAAAAATCCAGAAGTTCAATAAAATTGGCTGGTGTTTTTCTATGCTTTTTATTTTTGCTACTATAACAGCTGTATAACTTGCCATTTTATTAATTAGTCACACGTCAATATTAAATGTAAGTATGTTTGTATTGTACTCGTATAGTTATATCTATTTTATACAATTCAATATTAAAATTGGAAATAAATATAATCAAGAAAACTTTATTATAACAAGAATTGTATAGAAGAAAAAATCAAAATTACGCATAATTAATTTTTAAAAATTTTCGATTTTGTAAATTTTGCATTATTAATTATGTTTTCATTTTGTAATACCAAATTGGAAGCTTTTAAAATTTGTGTATAAGTGGAAATGCTTGAATTGAATTGACGCTTCTTAGTAATTTATTAGAACATTTGTTCGGCCAATGGCATATTTACTTAATATTAAACTGCAGATTCACTTATATTTCCCGAATTTTCTAAATATTAAATAATAGTTTTGGAAATTTTTAAATCTATTTGCGTTTTACAGTAATTTTTTTTTCCTTGTTCACTTCTAGGAGGAGTATAGGGCTAGTGTAAAATATCATAGATAATCATAAATAGTTTCATTGCGTCATAGAATTTTAACTAAGTAGGTGACTAGACTGCCGTACTTTTTTCTTTTATATTATATTTTACAGTAATTAGAGTGCGATTTATAGTTTTAATAGTAATTATAGGCTTGTACTCGATTTTTTAATAAAACTCAAAAAAATTTCATATTTATTATTTTTCTAATGAAATTCATCATTCTTTCGGCTAGATCCCAATCGGGTAAAATTGAATAAAGCTTATACAATTAAATAAAGCCGATAACAATTATTTTCTCATTCTAACTTGTTATATAAGGAAAAACATGAGATATAGGGTTATGCTCTTGATTTCAAAATTAATTTTTTTTTAATAATTTTTACCTATACAACAGCAACTGTTAACAGAATAAAATCTATATATACAGTATAACTTAGTCTTTGTCTTATATTAAATATATCTTATGAATATTCTACATTTTTTCGGAAAAATTATTAACTTCCTCAAATTTTTCTAATTTTTGGTCTAAACGCATGTACACGCTGACCTG